CCCGCTGAGTGTGAAGAGATCGACGTTGACGACTATTCTGTGCGCGAGGGCCCGTTGTCGAGCTTCATTGCTCCGCAAAGCTCATCCCACGCGAGGGACGCGGCCAAGAAGAGGTCAATTGAAGAGGAGGAAGCCGCGCCGTCTCTCCAGGTTGACTGGGACAAAGTCAACTTTGAAACCTTGCAGCGAACGACGATGGAAAAAAATCGAGCTGACGCAGTTGCCAATGAACGCCAAAAGACGGTAACTTTCTTGGGGGCGGCTCGCGCATTAAAGGATGACACCTCTGCATGGGAGCCGTACGTTTTTCCGCAGCGATTCAATGCCACGAAGAAAGAAAACTGTTTGATGGCGCTCCTCTTGTGGTGTGTCAGCGGTTCCGACGGTCGCGCACCTCTCTCTACCAAAGGCAATGGTAATGATGAGGACCCAGACCACGTGTTGCAGCGTGACGCGGAGTTCACATCGACGCTGCCTTCGGTGCCTTTTGACCACAGCCATATTATTCACCGTCAGTTGCTAGTGACCATTCACAACAGTCTCCTTCGTCGCACGAGCAGCAACAGTGCCAATAGTAGTCACATCGGAGCGATTGATTGGGAGAAGCTAGGGTTTCAAGGCAGCGACCCGGCCACTGACCTACGCTCTACAGGCATTTTCGGTCTCCTGCAATTAGTTTACCTCATAGAATATTACTGTGACTTTGCCATTCATCTATGGGACACGTGCACGAATGGTGGCAGTGACGTAGACGTCTTCGAAGAGCTCCCATTTGTGCTGATTGGGTTTAACTTCTCTGCTGTGGTCCTTGATGGGTTGAAGGACACGGGGTTTAGCAGCGATATCANAGCTCCCATTTGTGCTGATTGGGTTTAACTTCTCTGCTGTGGTCCTTGATGGGTTGAAGGACACGGGGTTTAGCAGCGATATCATGCGTCACGCGCGTAGCACGTCCATTCCGCGACGAAGCATGACGTCCCTCTCCCTGACGAGCGATGACATGCACGCAGTCTCTTGCGAGTTCCCCGTCTTGAAGGCTTGCTGCAATTATCATGTCGGTTGTCTGTTCCTATTCTGGGAGTGGTGGCTGCAGCTTAGGAAGCAGCGCGGTGGTCGGCCGCCAACAATTGGAGATTTTGGCGTTGTAAAGGCGAAGTTATGCGCAAAGATCAAAAAAAATGGCACCCAGTACGTCTTCGACGCTTGTGCGAGGGCCAGGGACCCCGCCGTTGTGGCGTCTCTCGCTGCTGATACGGACCTAGACACCGAGGTGAAATTGAATGAGGATGCTGTTACCATTCGTTCAAACTAGGGGTTGCCATGGGAACTAGTGCGTCAGAGAAGAAAAGAAGAGCTGCGTGCAAAGACTCCAGCAAGCGTCAGCTGTTGCCACAAATACTTTCTCCACTACCACTGCCACCACCAAGAAGCACCAATGTTCGTTTGTGTGGTGCTGATCTTTTCGATTCCTCGGCAGGATAGTAGGTGATGATATGTTTGGTACACCTTATTGTGGTAGGGGCAGAGAAGAAAACCGAAGGACCCAGGGGAGAAAATCAATGGATGAAGCGTTCTTCCCTTTTATCATGCTTCTTTATTATTATTATGGTGCTGATATGTTCCATCAAAGTATTTGTAAGAAATTGATATATTTCTATCCCTATGTGTAGTGTGTTTCTGTGTGTACGTGTTTGCCCGGTTAATTTGCTATATATATATATATATATATGATATGGGTGTGTCTTGCCTTCAAGGCAATTTGCGAGGGGGAATGAAGTGATTAATAGACAGAAAGGTACGCACGCAGAGAGAGAGAGTGTGTGTGTGTGAGAGAGAGAGATGGGGAAGGGGGCGAGACAAAAAAAAAAAAGCGGTGCGACCAGTGCCGCCTTGCGCCCTCTACGGCGTGTGAGACACAATTCTGTATGCAATGGGCATGCAGGCTAGCGTGGTCTCTTTTATTACTATTATTCTCAATTGTCTTGTGCTCCTTGTAAAGGAGCCGCCCCGGGAGATGCTCCGTAGTGGAAAAGGGACACCGCTCCTCTTTTTGTTTTCTGCACACACACCCACCCACCCACACACACACACATGCGTATTGAGCCACACACCCGGGCCACCTACCGTACTGTTGACAGGGTACACCGCTTTCCGCAGCACTTGTCGCTGCTGGAGGGAAAACTGCAGTGGTGCAACATGTCGTTGGTTTTTTTTTTCCTCTATTCCTATTCTTCTTGATATCCATGTTCACATTGTCGCTTACTCTGAAGCTGTCTGGGGTGGCTTTAGTGGAAACAGACGCAGAGCCTCTCTCTCTGCGGAGATCAATTGAACGGGAGTGAGGAACGAGCGTAACGCAGCGCCACCTGACATCGGCAAGGCACGGCAGTGAGAAAAACTGCAAAAATAAAAATAAGAAACACAACATAGACTATCCAGCACTGAATAAACGGCGCGAATGGAGGGCGTCCAGCTTCTCCCAGAAAGAAAAACTAATAAAGTGCTAATGAGTTGCGAGGGGGGAGCCTGCTCAATCGGCTCAGAGGTCTTGGCGCCGCACAAGAGTCGCGCAAAAATACCAAGCACTCACATCACACAGCAAGAGTGCCTGGAGCGGTGCGTGTCACTCTTTACGTGTTACGCCCTGCCGTCCGTTCAGAGTGTCACTGACCCCGGGAGAAAGGAGGAGTCAGCGGGTAGGGGTTTTCTGCCATCACTCATGCCCGTGCGCGTGGCGCAGGACACTGCAGTTCGGCAAGGCTCTGCCAGAGGCGTGGAGCCGCGACTGCAACTTCTTCGGATGCTCGGCGGCGGTGTATCTGGCGTGGTCTTCCTTGCCACAGGGATACTACCACAACAACAACAACCGGTACGGAGACAGCCGCTGTCACCAAAGGACAGCAGTGAAAGCAATGTTGGTGGCTTGTCGCCTCGTCCTTCGTTTTACCTCTTTTCGGTTGGCAGCACCCTACCGCACGTGCGGCAACAATGCCATGTCGCAGTAAAATTTATTGACTTGGAAGGACGCAATGGGACACGGCGTAATTGTGCACTCCGTGAGGTGAAATGCCTTCTCTCATGTAACTTTTTCTCTATACTGCGTTGCTATCGTAACCGTGTGCGATGCTTGCAACCTGGAGACCCGCCCCATCCACTGAGAAACCCCATCATCGCAGTGACGTTGGAATTGGAGTATGCAAATAATGGGGATCTGCGTGAAGAAATCAAAACTCGACTGAAAAAAAACGGCAAACACTTCTCGGAACGCGATGCACTCGTGATTTTTTTACAGGTGCTCATGGCGGTTTACTACCTCCACAAGAAGGGGATTCTCCACCGTGACATCAAATCATCAAATGTGCTGCTCTGTAGCAATGGGTTGGTTAAACTAGGTGACTTTGGGATGAGCAAACTCATATCAGGAGGTGCGGGTAGAGAAATGAAAGGATCATTCGTGGGCACGCCATACTACCTTACCCCAGAGATATGGCTGCGTAAGCCGTACAATATGAAGGCGGACATGTTTTCCCTAGGTGTTTTGCTGCATGAACTGCTAACGCTGAAACGCCCCTTCGGAGGCGAGAGCATTCAAGAGATCAAGCGTAATATTTTGGAGGAGACACCAGTGATACCGTCGCACGTTCATCCTGACGTCGCCAGCATAGTATTGAGCTTGCTTGAGAAAGATCCTGCTCGGCGTCCTTCAGCTGAAGAAGTCCTATCCTTACCGCTGATGAGAATGATATTTGGCACCTTCTTCCAGTGCGTACTTCTTGAGAGCCGAAAAGACTCATCCACAGCACGAGGGAAACGATCAAGCTCTCCTGACAATGATATGCTCCAAAATAGTTTCGTGCGGGTGCGAGAAACCTCCGATTCGAGCTGGCGTCTTTCACCAACTGAGCGGCAGCAAGTTTTGCTCAATATGGATCAGACGCGTAGTGATCTCTTTAATCAAGTTCTAGGTTCTTCAGTTGGAGTGGAGTGCAGTGCGGCCAATCTGTCGAAGCTTGACACATTGACACCTACACCTAAGGGGATTATTCTGGAGGGTATGCTCTACAAGGAAAATAAAGGCATATGGAAGAATCGCTACTTGTGCTTGCAGTGGTCTCCAATCTCAAGGGATAATGACACTGAAGGAGAGAATACAAGTTTGTGGGAAATTGAGCTGGTCCTGTCGTTGAGAAGTGATTCAACACAGCGTGTTCGAAAGTACATGAGCAACTACATTGACTGTTTCGCCGTGCCTGAGCAATACGCCGCGGAGAGGGCGCCTTTTGTATTTACTCTGCTAAGCAAAATGGGCAACAAGGTTACTTTCCAAGCTGCCCATGAAGAAGAGCGCCAGGGGTGGATTAATGTTTGCCTCCGTGCGATTGAATACCAGCGACGTGGAGAAGGGTACCAGGGTATTGACTACAATATGAACTCTGTTCGTAATGAGGATTCTGGCACGAGCTTTAGTACTGTGCAAACATGTTCAACCGTGGGCGGGCAGAGCATGAATGCGAGGGAGACAGCTGGTTTTCTGTCGGTTCCGTCCTCCACCATGCAGCGCACTGAGCAGTCAATCTCTGGGGCCGCCGAATCGCCCTCACAGTTCGGTGTAAAAGTACAGAAGACATGAGTGAGGGAACATTCAATGGAACAGAGTTTAGCAGATATATGGTCATACACATACACACGCGCCCGCAAAATACCTTTTCCTCGTCTTTTGGTATCTTCAACGCGCCTTCGTTACATCGTGGGTCCCCCCAGTCTCAAAAGAGACAATTTGCCGCCTTGGCAGTCACCTTCTCCGTCAGGCCACTACCGCTGCAATAAGGCTAACTGGGTGGCTAGTGACTCTTCCTGTGAGTGCTGGTGCGTTGGGTCCTGACTCTATTCCTTCCACATCTTGTAAGTGTAATGGTGGCATCTTGGTTAGTTTTTGAAGTGCCATTTCAGTGGCTGCTGCTATTCCTTTTTTTCCCCCCTTTACTCCCCCGCTTCACTACATTTGCGAGATAGTGAAGAAACAAAAAAAAAACAATATGAGGTAGAGTCAGAGCAGAAAATACAACAAAAAAGGAGGCGACGGAGAAAAAAAAAGAATGGGATGGATATAAAAGTATGTGTCTGTGTGGGAGAAATAGCCTCCCCCACCCCCTCCCCAAGTTTCTT